ATGGTAAGAGGTATTAGGAGCGGCGATATCTGGAGCGGAGATGCTGCAACCGCAGTGTGTTGACAAACGTCCGCTCAGGCGCGTCATCGCCTTCGCTCGCAGCCACATGGCGCACGCGGCGTATTATGCAGCAGTTGCTCAAAGGAGGGGAGGAGATAGCTCTCTCATCGTGGACCTTCTGGAACTCGGACATGGTATCAATACCAGTCAAGGCGAAGGCCGCCGCCTGGGACACGGCAACTTTGCTGCAGGAGCCACTGAAATCGCGGGCAGTAGTGGTGAAGAATACGCGCTCGCCTTTGCTCTCCACGACAGAGTCGGCGGGCTCCGGCTCCTCGAGCCTCATCCCATTCACCTGCAACAAGTGTGGTAAGGTTGCGGTTGGGTCTTCCGATGCCATCGCCAGAAAAGGCACAGCAGGACAGGAGCGCGTCTCCGGTGAGAATTTGTGAAGCGTGGTCTGGGTCCCATGGTCGTATGGGCGGTTGTCAGTTGCTCCCGTCGCTTCGCGAAGTCGTCATGCGCCGCTGGCTCGTTGAGCTGGGTCAATCTTGGACAAGGGCATGCGTAATCCACCGCGCGATCCTGTGACAGGTTCAGCTCCAATGTGCCCTCGAATTTGTTGTGTGCGTTGAGAAACAGCAGCGGTTGTCCTTTGTGAGCACCGACAAAGCTCGATGTTGTCTGTTCCCCAGGCAGCAACCACAGCCTCCGCTGTCTTGAGAGTTGGTCGTCTGGGTGCCGCCCACCAGGTGCACGCTTGCAACTGGAGGGTGGCCCACGGGAGTGCGTGTGTCTGAAACGGCATGAACCACAGCCATGACGCGAAGCAGCGACGCGACTTGATGTTCATCATGCAGCCGCGTAGTCTGCGGAGTCGGCGCCGATGCCAAGGAGGTCTCTTCCTGAGAGCTCTTGAGGACAGGAGTGCGCAGCGTGCGCTTGAGATCGACCACGACACGAACAGACGTGTGCACAAAAGCGTCCTGCTGCTGGCTGTCCAGGCCGACCTTGGATAGTTTCCACGCTGTGAGCGGGAGGAATTTCTTGCGAGCAGCTTCCACTTCTGCTGCGCTTCCTTTGAGGATCGCCTCGCAATGGTGGTCTGAGTCCGTGCCAAGCAGAATGCACGTGAAACGTATTGCATCGATCTGCTGGTTATTGCGCTTGCTCTTGTACGAGTACTTGATCTCCCTGGGCTTGTACACTCGCACTAGGAAGTCTTGAGTTTTGGCGCTGCTCTTCGTGAGACTACCCAGAGGGGGCGTCGGCTGGTTGCGGCAGAAGCCATGGTAGCCCACCTGACACAGGCTGAGTAGCACCGTGCAGGGCACAATGACACAGGCTGAGTAGCACCGTGCAGGGCACGATGGACGCAGGGCGTGTAGCACCGTGCAGCGCAAGGTGACACTGGGTGAGCAAGACCGCACAGTGGGCGGTGGCGCGTCCGATGGCAGCACGTGTATCACAAGGCGGCTTTTTGAACCAGCATGGCAATGGTCAGAAGATCTCGGGAGCTTGCATGTGACGTCGATCGGGGAAATGCCACGGCTGCCACGTTCGGAGAGCTTGCAATGCAGAGGGCCCCCACCCACAGCGGACGCCCGGTGGCGTCGAGGACAGCGCGGTAGTCATGTGTGTGTATGTGCGTGCTGTTTGTGCTGGTGGTGTGCTGTGTTGTCTTGTGTTGTGTGGTGTGTTGTGTTGTCTTGTGCTGTGTGGTGTGCAGTGTTGTCTTGTGATGTGAAGGACGCCCCGCTCCGCTCTCACGTGGAGCACTGGCGAAAGCAGCGGCCAGGATAGAACGTTAATCGCGCTCGTCTTTCGGAGGCCCTTGCAGTCCCGTTCCGCCGGGCACGTTGAGGGAAATCTAAAGTCCCGATTCCTCTCGCCCGTAGCCTCCCCATCCCTTTCTTCGCCACCTCCTTCGCTCGCTTTTCCTCTCTGTCTCTCTTCGCGTCCGGCTTCCCCTCCCTCTCTGTCTCCCGCCCCTCCCTGTCCCCTTCCCTTTCCTTCTCCTCTTCTGTTTTCATCTGTCTCGGTGCATGCCCCTGTATCTCAAACGACTTATTGCTTTCGAGCACTGGTATCTTCAACGAAACGCAGCCATCCATGGATGTAGATCAAAGGAGACACTGCTATCAATGGAAAAATGTTTATCTCCGGAGGGGTAAAGCCTATCAATGGATTTAGCTTCGGACGGCTCGTTCGTTCGACGGCTTAATTGTAGAGGAGACATTGTCATCAATGGATGTATGCGAAAACGAGACGCTGCTATCAACGGATGTAGGTTCGAATGAGACATGGGCCTCGAATTCAGCGCTGCTATCAAGATGGATATGTGTACAAACGAAACGTTGCCAGGAACAGTGAATGTGTGGGACAACGAGACACCGGAGCAAATGCCTGCTGGAAGCCTGGAAGCATAGCTGGAAGCAAAGCTGGAAGCATTGCTTTTCATATTGATGTAAGAGTCCTGCTGTAGAATTCTGCTGGTCTGGCAGTCGCATTTGCATGTGCAATTGCAGTCGCAGTGGCAACGTCCGTCGCAGTCGCAGTCGCAGTGGCGCTGCTACTACTTGCCTAGCCATTCGCGTAAACAGGAGCAGCAACAGCAGCAGCATCAGTAAGAGTAACAGTCAGAGTAGTAGTTGAATTAGTAGTGATGTTAGTCGTGGTTGCAGCGAAGTAGTAGGTGCAGCGGTTGTAGAGTACGAGCGTTGGTAATGGGACCAGGAGTAGATGCAGTAGACACACGAGTATCCAGAGTAGGACGAACTAGTCACTGCCATGAACTATCCCATCTCTGAACGAGACACTGCTATCAATGGATTTAGCTTGCAACGAGTCGTGGCTTTCGAACGCTGTATTTCCAAAGAAGACAGTGCCATCAATGCATCAACGTTTCTGTGCAATTGCAGCTTTCGAAAACTGTATGTCCAAACGAGACGCTGCCATCGACGGATGCAGCCTGAAACGAGACACTGCTATCAACGGATGCAGCGTGTTTTCGATCAAGGAATCCCCAACTGAGACCTTTCTATGAATGTATTGAGGTATGAAGGAGAACTGGTATCAATGGATGTTTGTGCAAACGAGACGCCGCTATCAGCGGATGCAGCCTGGAACGAAACTCTTGTGTCAATGAGTAGGGGCGCGGACTCGTAAGACCTGAGTTCCCAGCGGGGTGCTCGGCGAAGGCATTGACAGGAGCAATGTGATGATTGAGGATGAAGATGGGATGATGACGGCGCTACTTCGATTTGTTTCGTCTGTTCCGTCTCGGGCTTCCAATCAACTCTTGGAAGACATCTGGGAAACAGCAGAGGAGCGCACTGAGGAACGGTGCGTGAAGAGGAGAGCCGGCAAAACCTGCAGGCTGAGAATCACCGCAGAAACTCGCAGGCTGAGAAGCACCGCGGCCGCGCTGTCCTACTACTGCTGCGGGGCTGAGGAGCACCGCGGCCGCACAGTCTTATTACTATTGCAAGTACGCAGGCTGAGGAGCACCGGGGTCACGCGGGCTCCGATACCTCGCTTGTCCTGCTCGCTTGGAGGAACTCGCCCAATCTGGCGGCTGCCAACTATGCGAGCCGCCGATGGAGCCACCGCCCGTGCTGCCGCCGATGTCGACATAGTCTCCGCGCCGGAGAGCAGCCGGCCATGCCCCACCGCCAGAATCGCTTGTTCCTGTTGTCTAGCAACTCGTCGCCTCCCACTTCTGCAGCACGTCCAACTGCCTGCGCGTGAAAGTGGCCACCTCCTGGCCATGGGTCGCAGGCTGAGAAGCACCGCGACCTGAAGCCTCGCTGGTGGCGGGCGAGCCGGTTACCCTCGTTGTAGCGCGCAATCGCTTTAGCTTTGTTGTGGTGGAGTCGACGACGCTGTTCTCGTGAGACTTCGTCACGATCGGCTGGCTCTGCAGATTCGGCACTGGGCTCGATGTGCAATGCCGGCGGAGCATGTCAACATCGAAGCGGCCGGAGAAGGCCAGCACCTCCCAGATCTGCTTTGTGCCGCAAACGCGTTGCAGATGCCGGCACCACCGCTTGCGCTTCTGTTCTCTGACGAACTTGGCGAGGCTCCCTTTGCCTGCCGCTTCGGCCTGGCTGCCTTTGCCAGCGGCTGAGAAGCACCGCGATGACCTTTACGGCCGCCTGGTCTTTTGCTCGCAGGCTGAGGAGCACCGCGAGCACCTTCTGGAGGTGTCTTGCCTTTCGCTTTCCCTTTCTCGACATCTCGGTCCTCGCAGCCAAGCTGGTGGTCGGTCTGCTCGTACCCGCTCGAGCACGTTTTACGAGTTCCCCGCGCTCAGCCTCGGTGAGGACGTGGCGCAAGTTGGTGATGTTCTTGCCCCGCAGGAACTCATGGCGAACTCGGAGGACAGAAAGAATGGCTCGGGCAGTCTCCTCCTGCGACGCGAAGGCGGTGTCATAGTCTGAGCTAGGCTGAGGGGCACCAGCTGGATCTCTATCAGGAGGCTGCGCGGACGCCCTCTTCTTGAACAGCAGAAGGCTCAGGTGGTGGAGGAGTTTGGGGTCGTAATCCAAGTCGTACCTCTGGTCCCAATACTCCCGCATCTCCTTGTGCAGGTCCTGCGCGCGCTGGCTAGCTTCATCCTCGGGCTTGTCGCAGGCTGTCCCGTCGGCCTCGGACGTCGGCGACGGCGGAGGAGAGGTGCGCGGCGACCGGGGCCAGGTGACCCCGGCCTCGGCCTCGGCCTCTGAGTCGCCGACGGCGTCAGACAATTCTCCGAAGGCAATCTTCCGTCTCTTTGCCTCCCCAGGCTGAGAAGCACCGGGGAGGGTGATCACGACCGCCACAGCATCGTGTGAGTCGTTGCGCATGCCACGGTCCAAGTACGACGCGCCAACAGCGACGGGCCGGAAACGCGCGACGGCTCCGCAGACCGCCACGTTGTCGCCTTGGCGGTCTGCCGGTGAGGCGAAGACTTCCCACAACGCCTCGTCGTCAGTGTGCTGCTGCAAAGCTTCACGCGCCTGCCGGGAGTTCAGGTTGTTGTCGCCGACCATGATGCGCATGACCGGCGTGCCCATCTCCGGGGCCTCGAGGCCGTCCAAGTGGAGTCGGAGCAGCCTCGCAGCGCACTGTCTCGTGAGAATGCTGGGAGGGTTCCCGGCGCAAGCGATGTGCATATTGCCGGTGGCCGCGTGCACTCTGCCGTGACCGCTTGTCTCCACATCGAACCGTGCGATCACAGCGTCCACCTGGCGTCCGATGGGGACGTGGTAGATGCGCGTGTCCCCGTGCAGGGGCACGACGGCAGGCTGAGAAGCACCGCCGAAGCCCCACGGGCTCAAGTAGTTCCCGACCTCGGCGAAGCGAACGCTGTCGCCTAACGGCTTGGTGAGGATGTCTTGCGCGTTGATTATTGCTTTCCTCGGGCCTTGGCGAAACGCGCCGACCTCACGCGCAAACAATGGGTCAGCGCCGGCGTCCTCGACGATCGTGGCGCACACGCGCCCGAAGTTGGAGCAGTGAGTGATGCATTTCTTCCCGGACATCGCCGCTTGCTCGAACCCGAAATTAAAGGAGGCGACCGTGAAACAAGCAGGCGGAGGAGCGCCGTTTGCAGGCGCGGCCGCAGGCGCGCCTCGGTCTTCTTCCGCAGGCTGAGAAGCACCGCGAGAAGCCGAGGCTGTGGACGAGCCTCGCGGCACAAGGAGAGCCGTTGCAATGTAGATCGCGCAGGAACGGCCAAAAGGGATGCACATCCTGAACCAAAGACGGCTGTCACCTGCAGGGAGGGACGGTCAGCGAAGGCGAAAGTACCGATACCGGTCCTCGTTTTGGAGAGCCCTCGTCGCCACGGCTGAATTCGTTTTGAAATTCTGGTCATTCCCCGGCGGTATCGGTACATTTTTTTTTCGTCCCTGAGAGAGGGGGCCCAGAAATCCGATGTCATGAAATAAAACGTGGCGGGAATGGAGTTCTGGAAACTCGAAGACCACGAAGTGGCCTACAGTTGGCTCCGGGCATCCAAAATGTGGCCCGGGAGTGGGGTTCTGGGAACTCGAAGACCACGAAGTGGCCTACAGTTGGCTCCGGGCATCCAAAATGTACGCCGGGAATGGAGTTCTGGGAAGTCGAAGAGCACGAAGTGGCCTACAGTTGGCTCCGGGCATCCAAAATGTACGCCGGGAATGGAGTTCTAGCACCGCCAAGAGCGATTTTGCGAGGATGTCCCAGGCGATTTGGGTTTCGGCGGCAGCCGCCCTGGGTCCCGCCCCGACCCCCTCTGAGGAGTCATGAGGCTTTTTTTTGACACCATTAGAAACCTATCAGTCTTCGCTGTTAAGTAAAAGGTATCATTAAAACATTATTATTATCCCGGCAAAGCAACCTAACAGCGATGTGTACGAGCATTTCTGGAAGCATTCCCCTTAAGATTCAGATGAGAAGCCAGTTGTAGAATTCTGCTGTTCTCGCAGTCGTAGTCGCATTCGCGATGACAGTTGCAGTTGCAACGGCAGTCGCAGTCACAGCCTCAGCCTCAGCCTGCCTCAGCCTCAGTCTGCCTCAGCCTCAGCCTCAGCCTGCTTCAGCCTCAGCATCAGTCTGCCTTCAGCCTCGGCCTCAGCCTCCGCCTGCTCTCAGCCTGCCTCAGCCTCAGCCTCAGCCTGCCTCAGCCTCAGCCTTAGCCTCAGCTTCAGCCTCAGCCTCAGCCCAGCAGGCCTCAGCCTCAGCTCAGGCCTCAGCCTCAGCCTCAGCCTGCCTCAGCGTCAGCCTGCCTCAGCATCAGCCTCAGCCTGCGTGCCTCAGCCTCAGCCTCAGTCTGCCGTCGGCCTCGGCCTCAGCCTCAGGCTGCCGCAGCCTCAGCCTGCATCAGCCTCAGCCTCAGCCTCAGCCTGCCTCAGCATCAGCCTGCGTCAGCCTCAGCCTCAGCCTGCCTCTGCCTCAGCCTCAGCCTGCTTCAGCCTCAGCCTCAGTCTGCCTTCAGCCTCGGCCTCAGCCTCAGCCTGCCTCAGCCTCAGCCTGCATCAGCCTCAGCCTCAGCCTCAGCCTGCCTCAGCATCAGCCTGCCTCAGCCTCAGCCTCAGCCTGCCTCAGCCTCAGCCTCAGCCTGCTTCAGCCTCAGCCTCAGTCTGCCTTCAGCCTCGCCTCAGCCTCAGCCTGCCTCAGCCTCAGCCTGCATCAGCCTCAGCCTCAGCCTCAGCCTGCTCAGCATCAGCCTGCCTCAGCCTCAGCCTCAGCCTGCCTCAGCCTCAGCCTGCCTCAGCCTCAGCCTCAGCCTGCTTCAGCCTCAGCCTCAGTCTGCCTTCAGCCTCGGCCTCAGCCTCAGCCTGCCTCAGCCTCAGCCTGCATCAGCCTCAGCCTCAGCCTCAGCCTGCCTCAGCATCAGCCTGCCTCAGCCTCAGCCTCAGCCTGCCTCAGCCTCAGCCTCAGCCTGCTTCAGCCTCAGCCTCAGTCTGCCTTCAGCCTCGGCCTCAGCCTCAGCCTGCCTCAGCCTCAGCCTGCATCAGCCTCATCAGCCTGCCTCAGCTTCAAAATGTGGCCCGGAATGGAGTTCTGGGAACTCGCCTGCTCATCTCAGCCTGCCTCAGCCTCAGCCTGCCTCAGCCTCAGCCTCATGCCTCAGCCTCAGCCTCAGCCTGCTTCAGCCTCGCCTCAGCTGCCTTCAGCCTCAGGCCTCATCCTGCCTCAGCCTCCTCAGCCTCAGCCCGCCTCAGCCTGCCTCAGCATCACCTGCCTCAGCCTCAGCCTCAGCCTGCCTCAGCTCAGCCTCAGTTTCATCTGCCTCAGCTCTGCCTCAGCCTCAGCCAGCCAGCCTCAGCATCAGCCTGCTCAGCATTCAAAATGTGGCCCGGGAATGGTTCTGGGAACTCGAAGAACACGAAGTGGCCTACAGTTGGCTCCGGGCATTCAAAATGTGGCCCGGGAATGGAGTTCTGGGAACTCGAAGACCACGAAGTGGCCTACAGTTGGCTCCGGGCACCCAAAATGTGGCCCGGGAATGGAGTTCTGGAAACTCGAAGTCCACGAAGTGGCCTGCAGTTGGCTCCGGGCATCCAAAATGTGGCCCGGGAATGGAGTTCTGGGAACTCGAAGACCACGAAGTGGCCTACAGTTGGTTCCGGGCATCCAAAATGTACGCCGGGAATGGAGTTCTGGGAACTCGAAGAGCACGAAGTGGCTTACAGTTGGCTCCGGGCATCCAAAATGCACGCCGGGAATGGAGTTCTAGCAGCGCCAAGAGCGATTTTGCGAGGATGTCCAAGGCGATTTGGTTTTCGGCGGCAGCCGCCCCGGGTCCCGCCCCGACCCCCCTGAGGAGTCATGATGCTTTCTTTTGACACCACTAGAAACCTATCAGTCTTCGCTGTTAGGTAATTATTATTATTATTATTGATATTAAATTATTAGTATTATTGTTATTATTATTATTTTCATTATTATTATTTTTATTATCTATATTATTATTTTTATTCTTTAGCATTATTATTATTATTATTGTTTTATTATTATTAGTATTATTCTTATTATTATTATCATTATTATTGTTATTATTCTTATTACTACTATCATTATCATTCTTCTTCTTCTCATTATTATTATTATTATTATTAGTATTATTATCATTATTATTATTATTATTTTTATTATTATTAGTAATATTATTATAATTATCCGCATTCCGCATGTCCACCGCTTCCCCCGTGGACATCGGGCAGGACTGCAGACCCTGTGGACGTGAGGACTTCCTCCTCCTCCTCCTCCTCCTCCTCCTCCTCCTCCTCCTCCTCCTCCTCCTCCTCCTCCTCCTACCCCCCTCCCCCTCGTCCTCCTCCTCGCTCCGCCTCTCCTCCTCGTCCTCCTCCTCCTCCTCCTCCTCGTTCTCCTCCTCCTCCTCCTCCTCATCCTCCTACTTCGCTGGCGGTGCAGCGGAGTCGGGCCACGGCACCCCCAGAGCAGGGCCAGCTTGTCGCGCGCGTTAAGCAAGCACACCGCCGAGGAGGAGGAGGAGGAGGAGGAGGAGGAGGAGGAGGAGGAGGAGGAGGAAGAGGAAGAGGGAGGAGGCGGAGGAGAAGGAGGAGGAGGAGGAAGAAGCAGAAGAAGAAGAGGAGGAGGAGGAGGAGGAGGAGGAGGAGGAGGAGGAAGAGGGCGAGAGAGCGAACATAATCGCGTTTCGCTCGTCGCGGAGCGCGGAGTCAGGCGCCGCCGCCATCGTCGTCGTCGCAGTCACATGTCACTTGAGGCCTTCAGAGGCTTGCTCTGCAGATTCAGGGAGGCCTCCGCAGGTCTTCAGAGGCCTCCGGAGGCATGCAGTGGTTCAGCAAGGGCCGAAGAAGCCCCAAAACCTCATTCCTCGAGATCCTCGTCGCCGCCGCCGCATCCGACGCCGCCGCCGCCGCCAGAGGCGTCGTCGTCGTCGTCGTCGTCGTCGGCGGCGGCGGCGGCGGCGGCGGCGGCGAAGACGGCGGCGGCGGCGGCGGCGGCGGCGTCGCCGTGCTGTGAGGACGGGGGGGCTGCCGCCCCGGCAGGCGCCGCGCTCCCGAGGCCGCTGGCCCTCGGCCCTCTCCACGAGCGCGACGCGCCGCTGGCCGCCGGCGCGGCGGGCCTGGACCTCGAGGCGGCGGCGGGGGAGTTCCGTCCGAGGTCTTCGGCGTTGTCGGCGCGGGGTTTCGAGGGTTCGGGGTTCCAGGTTTCTCGAGGGTTCGAGGTTTCGAGGTTCCAGGGTTCGAGGGTTCGAGGTTTCGAGGTTCCAGGGTTCGAGGTTTCGAGGTTCGAGGTTTCGAGGTTTGAGGTTCCAGGTTCGAGGTTTCGAGGTTCGAGGTTTCAGGTTTCGAGGTTCCAGGTTCCGAGGTTGCGAGGTTCCAGGTTTCGTGGTTTCGAGGTGCCAGGTTTTCGCTTCGTCGGCTCTTGTCGGCTTTCCAGCCTCGGGGTGCTCTCCAGCAGCTGCGCCTCGCCGAGGGGCGCTCCCGCGGTGCCCGGAATCGTTGCGGACGGCAGCAGGAGGCCCAGCGGCGGCGGCGCCGCAGGTGGAAGGTCGTGATGTTTTCTGGAGTTCTCGGAGGTTTTATGTTTTTGCCGCCAGTTGCTGGAGGTTGTTGGAAGTCTTCTGAATTCGTCGGACCTTGCTGGAGGTCTGGAGGTTTTCGGACTTCTTTTTAAGTCTCTGGAGGTTTCTGGAGTTTTCCAGCGGTCTCTGGAGGTCTTTGGAGGTTTCTGGAGGTCTGGAGGCTTTCGAACGTGTTCAAACGCCGACGTCGGTTTTGCGGAGGTTTTCGGAAGTGACCCGAAGCGTCCACGAGCTTCTACAGGTCTTCGATCGGAGGTCTGCCACCGTGGCGGTGCTCTGCAGCGGCTGCGCCTCGTCGAGGGCGCTCCGGGGGTGCCCGACGCTTCCCGAGCGGCCGCAGGAGATCCGAGCCTGGAGCCGTGGCCCGGCGGGCGGTCTGTGACCACTCTCTCGACCTCGGGGGCCCTCGCCCCGACTCGGTGCCGCCAGAGGAGCGACTCGGGGGGACGAGCTCGCCCCTGGGGAGGAGGTCGGGGCCTCCAGGGAGTGGGCCGGGGCCTCCCGGACACACGCTCGCGCCACGGGCTCGTCGCCGGGGGCGGGCGGCTCGGCCGCGCCCGAAGAGGCTCCAGCGACGAGCCCACCTCCGTCGCAGACTTCTGGGGCGGGGGGGGGATCGAGGAGTGGAGCTTCGCCGTGCAGCGAGCGGGTTCTGAGGCACGGAGGCTCTCCCTGATGGGCTTGTTTTCCACCGCCACCACCAGAAGTTGGAGGTGGAGGGGGTCGTCCTCCTCCTCCTCCTCCTCCTCCTCCTCCTCCTCCTCGTCCTCCTCCTCCTCCTCCTCCTCCTCCTCCTCCTCCTCCTCGTCCTCCACCTCCTTCCCCCCTGCAGCAATGCTGAGGCCTTTCGCCGTTTGCAACAGCCCGCTGGGGCCCCCCATGGGGGCCCCTGGGGCTATCAGAGACCGACTCGGCAGGGCAAGCAGCCGGCCTCGGGAGAGCCCCTGGGGGTCCAGGCCCCGTTTCCCTGTGGACCCGCTTGCTTTGTGCCAGCGGAGGCGGTGGCGGCGCCGCCAGTTCTCCCCCCCCCCCCCTCCCCTGCCCCCCCCCCCCCCCTCCTCCTCCTCCTCCTCCTCCTCCTCCTCCTCCTCCTCCCCCTCCTCCTCCTCCTCCTCCTGCTCCTCCTCCTCCTCCTCCTCCTCCTCCTCCGTCCCCCTCCTCCTCCTCCTCCTCTTCTTCCTCCTTCTCGCCCCTGTTTTTCCTCCCGCCTGTTCTCCGACCTCCCCTTCCTCCTTCCATTTCGCCTTCGCCCTCGTCTTCGGTGCCATCGTCAGGCTTGAGTCGTCAGCCGTCGTCGTCGTCGTCGTCGTCGTCGTCGTCGTCGTCGTCGTCGTCTGAGTCGTCGTCGTCGCCATCGTCGTCGCCGTCGTCGTCGCCGTCGTCGTCGTCGTCGTCGTCGTCGTCGTCGTCGTCGTTCGTTCTCGTCGTCGTCGTCGTCGTTGTCGTCTTTGTCGTTGTTCGTTCTCGTCGTCGTCGTCGTCGTGGTGGTTGTTGTCGTCGTCGTCGCGGGAGGCGCGCCTCGTGGCCTGCGAGCTCCGCGGAGCGGCGCGGGACAAGCAGGCCGCGCCCCCGCTGCGTCCCCGCCACGAGGGGGGGCACCCCGGGAGGCCCTCGGAGGCTCTCGGGAGGCCCTTTGGGAGGCCCTCGGAGGCCCCTCGAGACGCACACGTCTGGTGAGAGAGGGAGTAGTATTGCTAGTCTTACTCTTGCTACCATGATCGATTATAGTGTTATTCGTTGTCATTTCCACAATTCGTAGCATCATCTTTACGGTGATTCGTATCGTGAATTCTAGTACGTGTTATTCGGATGCTTGTTGTGATCAGTGGGTTTGTGCTTATGGTGACGTTTGTCATTCCTTTTGCTATCATTATTCGTATCAGCAGTTGTAGTCGTGTTAGTGTTGTAGTCGTCGTAGTAGTAGTAGTAGTAGTAGTAGTAGTAGTCGTAGCAGTAGTAGTAGTAGTAGTAGTAGTAGTAGTAGTAGTAGTAATAATAGATAATAGTAGTAGTAACCGTAGTCGTAGTCGTAGTCGTAGTAGTAGCCGTCGTATCAGTAGTAGTAGTCGTAGTAGTAGTAGTAGTAGTAGTAGTAGTAGTAGTTAGTAGTAGTAGTAGTAGTTAGTAGTAGTAGTAGCCAATTAGTCGCAGTCGTAGGTAGTAGCAGTATAGTTAGTAGTAGTAGTAAGAGTAGTAGTAGTAGTAGTAGTAAGTAGTTTTAGATAGTCAGCAAGTGTAGCGGGAGTAGTAGCGTAGTAGTCGTAGTAGTCGTAGTATCGTAGTAGTCGTAGTCAGTCGTAGTAGTAGCCGTAGTCGTAGTAGTAGTCGTCTAGTAGTAGTAGTAGTAGTATTATTAGTCGTCGTTCGTAGTAGTGGTGTCGTGGTGCGTGGTAGTAGTAGTGGTAGTTTAGATTACTCGTAGTAGTAATCGTAGTAGGTCCGTAGTAGTAGTGGTTGTATTAGTGGTAGTAGTGTAGTAGTAGGAGTAGTGTTAGTAGTAATCGTAGTAGTAGCAGTAGTAAGTCGTAGTAGTAGGATCGTACAGATAGTAGTGTAGTTAGCAGTAGTAGTAGTAAGTAGTAGTAGTAGAGTAGTAGTAGTAGTAGTAGTGGTGGTAGTAGCAGTAAGTAGTAGTAGTAGTAGTATAGTATCGTTAGTTTTAGTAGTAGTAGTAGTAGTAGTAGTCAGTAGTAGTAGTAGTAGTAAGTTGTAGTAGTAGTAGTAGTTGTAGTAGTAGTAGCCGGTATTAGTATTAGTAGTAGTAGTAGTAGTAGTAGTAGTTAGTTAAGTAGTAGTAGTAGGTAGTAGTAGTAGTAGTAGTCGTAGTGCGTAGATAGTGGTAGTTGTTATCAGCAGCAGTAGCAGTAGTGTAGTAGCTAGTAGTTAGTAGTAGTAGTAGTAGGTAATTAGTAGTGTCGCAGTATAGTAGTAATCGTAAAGTAGTAGTCGTCGTGAAATGTAGTCGCTAGTGAGTAGTAGTAGTCAGTAGTAAGTGTAGTAGCTAATAGTAGTGGTAGTAGTAGTAGTAGTAGTATTAGTAGTCGTACTGGTAGTAGTAGTAGTAGTAGTCGTGGTAGTCGTAGTAGTCGTAGTAGTAGTAGTAGTGGCAGTAGTAGTAGTAGTAGTAGTAGTAGTAGTAGTAGTCGTAGTAGTGGTCGTAGTCGTAGTAGTCGTAGTGTAGTAGTAGTCGTAGTAGTAGTAGTAGTAGTAGTAGTAGTAGTAGTAGTCGTCGTCGTCGTAGTAGTGGTGGTAATAGTAGTAGGAGTTTTAGTAGTAGTAGTATTAGTAGTAGTAGTCGTAGTAGTAGTAGCAGTAGTAGTAGTAGTAGTAGTAGTAGTAGTAGTAGTAGTAGTCGTAGCAGTCGTAGTAGTAGCAGTAGTCGTCGGAGTAGTAGTGATCGTAGCGTTAGTAGCATGCGTAGTAGTAGTAGTAGTCGTAGTAGTAGTAGTAGTAGTAGTAGTAGTAGTAGTAGTAGTAGTAGTAGTAGTAGTAGTAGTAGTGGTAGTAGTAGTAGTAGTAGTAGTAGTAGTAGTAGTAGTAGTAGTAGTCGTAGTCGTAGTCGTAGTCGTAGTCGTAGTCGTAGTAGTATCGGAGTAGTAACAGTAGTAGTTGTAGTAGTCGTAGTATAGTGGTAGTTGTAGTAGCAGCAGCAGTAGCAGTAGCCGTAGTAGTGGTAGTAGTAGTAGTAGTAGTAGTAGTAGTAGTAGTAGCAGCAGTAGTAGTCGCAGCAGTAGTAGTAGTAGTAGTAGTAGTAGTAATCGTATTAGTCGTGGTAGTCGTAGTAGTAGTAGTGGCAGCAGTAGTAGTAGTAGTAGTAGTAGTAGTAGTAGTAGTAGTCTTGGTAGTCGTAGTAGTCGTAGTAGTAGTAGTAGTGGCAGTAGTAGTAGTAGTAGTAGTAGTAGTAGTCGTCGTAGTCGTAGTAGTCGTAGTGTAGTGGTAGTCGTAGTAGTAATAGTAGTAGTAGTAGTCGTCGTCGTAGTAGTGGTGGTAGTAGTAGTTTTAGTAGTAGTAGTCGTAGTAGTAGTAGCAGTAGTAGTAGTAGTAGTAGTCGTAACAGTCGTAGTCGTAGCAGTAGTCGTCGGAGTAGTAGTGATCGTAGCGTTAGTAGCATGTGTAGTAGTAGTAGTCGTTTTAGTAGTGGTAGTAGTAGTAGTAGTAGTAGTAGTAGTAGTAGTCGTAGTAGTAGTAGTAGTAGTAGTAGTAGTAGTAGTAGTAGTAGTAGTAGTAGTAGTAGTAGTTCGTAGTAGTAGTAGTCGTAGTAGTAGTAGTAGTAGTAGTAGTAGTAGTAGTAGTAGTAGTAGTAGAAGTAGAAGTAGAAGTAGAAGTAGAAGTAATAGTGGTAGTTGTCAGTAAGCAGCAGCAGTAGCAGTAGCCGTAGTTTAGTAGTTAGTAGTAGTAGTAGTAGTAGTAGAGTAGTAGCAGCAGAAGTAGTCGCAGCAGTTAGTAGTAGCAGTAGTAGTAGTAGTAGTAGTGTAGTAGTAGTTAGTAGAGTGGTAGTAGTAGCTAGTTAGTAGTAATAGTAATCGTAGTAGTATGTCGTTCGTCGTCGTAAGTCGTAGTAGTAGTAGTAGTAGTAGTAGTAGTAGTAGTAGTAGTAGTAGTAGTGGTAGTAGTAGCCGTAGTAGCAGTAGCAGTAGCAGTAGCCGTAGCAGTAGCAGTAGCACGGGTAGTAGTAGTAGTAGTAGTAGTAGTCGTCGTCGTAGTAGTCGTAGTAGTCGTAGTAGTCGTAGTAGTCGTAGGGTTGGTAGTAGTAGTAGTAGTAGTAGTAGTAGTAGTAGGAGTAGGAGTAGTAGTAGTAGTAGTAGTAGTAGTAGTAGTAGTAGTAACAGTGGTCGTAGTAGTAGTAGTAGTAGTAGTAGTAGTAGTAGTAGTAATAGTAGTTGTAGTTGTAGTCGTAGTAGTAGTAGTAGTCGCAGTCGTAGTAACGATAGTAGTAGTAGTAGTAGTAATAAGATTGG